AGAACTCTCTTTTCAAATAGCGGAGCATTCTTTTGAAATGGCAGAACTCGCATTTGAAATAGCGGAACTTTCTTTTCAAACGGCAAAACTCCCTTTTCAAATAGCGGAATTTCTTTTCAAATAGCAGAACCTCTTTTCAAATAGCGGAGCATTCTTTTTAAATAGCAGAACTCCCTTTTCAAATAGCGGATCTTTCTTTTCAAATAGCAGAACTCTCTTTTCAAATAGCGGAGCATTCTTTTGAAATGGCAGAACTCGCATTTGAAATAGCGGAACTTTCTTTTCAAACGGCAAAACTCCCTTTTCAAATAGCGGAATTTCTTTTCAAATAGCAGAACCTCTTTTCAAATAGCGGAGCATTCTTTTTAAATAGCAGAACTCCCTTTTCAAATAGCGGATCTTTCTTTTCAAATAGCAGAACTCTCTTTTCAAATAGCGGAGCATTCTTTTGAAATGGCAGAACTCGCATTTGAAATAGCGGAACTTTCTTTTCAAACGGCAAAACTCCCTTTTCAAATAGCGGAATTTCTTTTCAAATAGCAGAACCTCTTTTCAAATAGCGGAGCATTCTTTTTAAATAGCAGAACTCCCTTTTCAAATAGCGGATCTTTCTTTTCAAATAGCAGAACTCTCTTTTCAAATAGCGGAGCATTCTTTTGAAATGGCAGAACTCGCATTTGAAATAGCGGAACTTTCTTTTCAAACGGCAAAACTCCCTTTTCAAATAGCGGAATTTCTTTTCAAATAGCAGAACCTCTTTTCAAATAGCGGAGCATTCTTTTTAAATAGCAGAACTCCCTTTTCAAATAGCGGATCTTTCTTTTCAAATAGCAGAACTCTCTTTTCAAATAGCGGAGCATTCTTTTGAAATGGCAGAACTCGCATTTGAAATAGCGGAACTTTCTTTTCAAACGGCAAAACTCCCTTTTCAAATAGCGGAATTTCTTTTCAAATAGCAGAACTCCCTTTTCAAATAACGGAGCACTCCTTTCAAATAGCAGAACTCCATTTTCAAAAAGCGAACTTCTTTTCAAATAGCAGAACTCCCTTTTCAAATACCGGAGCATTTTTCGAATAGCAGAACTCCCTTTTCAAATAGCGGAGCATTCTTTTCAAATAGCAGAACTCCCTTTTCCAATAGCGGAACGTTCTCCTCAAGTAGCAGAACTCTCTTTTCAAATAGCGAAACTTTCTCCTCAAGTAGCAGAACTCTCTTTTCAAATAGCAGAACTCCCTTTTCAAATAGCGGAATTTTCTCTTCAAATAGCAGAACTCCCTTTTGAAATAACGGAGCATTCTTTTCAAATAGCAGAACTCCCTTTTCAAAAAGCGGAGAATTCTTTTCAAATAGCAGAACTCCCTTTTCAAGTAGCGGAGCATTCTTTTCAAATACCAGAACTCCCTTTCCAAATAGCGGAACTTTCATTTCAAATAGCAGAACTCCCTTTTCAAATAGCGGAATTTGATTTCAAATAGCAGAACTCCCTTTCCAAATAGCGGAACTTTCATTTCAAATAGCAGAACTCCCTTTTCAAATAGCGGAATTTGATTTCAAATAGCAGAACTCCCTTTTGAAATAACGGAGCATTCTTTTCAAATAGCAGAACTCCCTTTTCAAAAAGCGGAGAATTCTTTTCAAATAGCAGAACTCCCTTTTCAAGTAGCGGAGCATTCTTTTCAAATACCAGAACTCCCTTTCCAAATAGCGGAACTTTCATTTCAAATAGCAGAACTCCCTTTTCAAATAGCGAACTTTTTTTCAAATAGCAGAACTCCCTTTTCAAATAGCGGAGGATTCTTTTGAAATAGCAAAACTCCCTTTTCAAATAGCGGAACTTTCTTTTCAAAAAGCAGAACTCCCTTTTCAAATAGCGGAGCATTCTTTTCAAAGAGCAGAAGTCGCTTTTCAAATAACGGAGCATTCTATTCAAATAGCAGAGCTCCCTTTTCAAATAGCGGCACTTTCTCGTCAAGTAGCAGAACTCTCTTTTCAAATAGGGGAATTTTCTCCTCAAGTAGCAGAACTCTCTTTTCAAATAGCAGAACTCCATTTTCAAATAGCGAAGCACTCTTTTCAAATTGCAGAACTCCCTTTTCAAATAGCGGAGCATTCTTTTCAAATAGCAGAACTCCAATTTCAAATAGCGGAACTTTCTTTTCAAACGGCAGAACTCCCTTTTGAAATAGCAGAATTTCTTTTCAAATAGCAGAACCTCTTTTCAAATAGGGGACATTCTTTTTAAATAGCAGAACTCCCTTTTCAAATAGCGGAACTTTCTTTTCAAATAGCGGAATTTCTTTTCAAATAGCAGAACTCCCTTTTCAAATAGCGGAGCACTCCTTTCAAATAGCAGAACTCCCTTTTCAAATAGCGAACTTCTTTTCAAATAGAAGAACTCCCTTTTCAAATAGCGGAGCATTCTTTTGAAATAGCAGAACTCCCTTTTCAAATGGCGGAGCATTCTTTTCAAATAGCTGCTTGAATAATCAAAATGGTGGAAGGTCATGGATTTTTTAATTCCTTCAATAATTCAAGTTTCAGACCAGAGAAGTCGATATGAATGCAATAAAGCTACTAAATAATGATGCTAACTTAACTTATACTGGTAGTCGTATAAAGTGGACCGGTGACCTTAATTCATTAAAGAATTATGTCGAAAATGTTATTGGTTTGACCGGCACTTGGAAATCACCTGGTGGAAATGCTAAACAGTTTAAAAGTTCAACGTTTGATTTTACCTTGACCTGGTACCCGGGAAAGCAGAACTCGGATGGTGAGCTATTCAAACAAATTCTGGTAACAGTTTTAGATACAGATCACATAGTAAGACAAGCAGATGCTATGTTGGACAGTTTATCAGTGAACACAGCGGAGCCGCAAGGTACCAACAATAATGCGAGCGCTCCCGAACTATTAAAAACAGCAGACTGTCTTCTCAGACTATTCACGAAAGCCCTCAATGTAAAAACTGGGGAAATTTGAGGGCAGAAATGTCTGAATTTGCTGAGACTCTGAATTGCTTATTCGATCTAACGCATAAAATTTACAACCTACTGGATAAATCGGTAACTGCTGACCCACTCCCAAACTCAGGGCAAAGTTTAATAAACAAAAAAGACACTAACTCTGGGTATTGCGATCTTTCTGCTGACCTTGAGGGTGTTAAGTTAGATGTTGTAATAATCGAATCTAGATTTTCGAACAGCATGTCGGCAAATCAAAACGAGATTGGTTAAATAAATAAAGAGATTAATCACTTTCGTGATCAATTGTTCATTATGCAAAAGGAGCAGCAAAAGACTTCTATAGAAATTACTAATCATGATGCAGTAATTAATGAATTATCCTCTCAAGCATGTTCTTCACAGGAGTATAATTATCAATCTGGTAATGCGTCAAATTATGATGCCGGTAATGAGGAAAACGAAAGCGGTAATTCTATGGTAGCTAATGTAGAATCCAGTCAAAATGCAAATTTAAACGCCTCAATGCAGTCGAATAAAAGTTCTGAGAGATAAATTTCTATAGTTTTGAGTAATGATGGTGATAATCCCGGCCTTGATGCTCCTACTCAGCTTGTAAAGCCAAATGAGATCACATCGCAAATTGCAACCCAAGAGCAATGTTTAAATGATGCGAAATTGAACACTATTAGTCTGGGCGAGAATAATTCCGTTCCTGAGAGCTCAGCACAAATCCAATTACATATTTCAAATATTTCGAATAAAGTTCGTTACGCAAATAAGAGAAAGGATTGTAATGGCAACACACTATATTCATTAACACAGACAAAGTCCTCCGATAGCACACATAGCCAATTAAATGATAAGCAAAATGGATATACACGACAACGCTTTTATCAGAATAATAACGCAAACCAGTCCAATTATAATAATAATCAGCAAAAATCCATTCCCACCCGTATTACTACAAGGAAACGAGTAAAAAACGTGGGTAGAAAATCCAATTCAAAACGAAATGAGTGCAAAAATATTTGTACTGATTATTGTAAGAGTAATATTTCAAAACCCTACGAACAGTCAAAAATTCGAAATGGGAATAATGGAAGAAATAACGAGGGTTTTCGTACGGAATCATGGGGAAGAGACAAAATAGGGTGGTTCCAATTTTATTATTAGGAAATCATGTAATGAGTGCTGAAAAAGATGCAAATAGTCCCTCGAGAGATACTAAGAATACGGAACGAACTCGATCTGTAAATTTTAATAACTTAATTTATGTCAATTGTACAAGGAAACAGAAGACTTATTTTATGCCTATCAACTTTTGCCTGTTGAACACCAGATCAATAAATAGGAAAGAACTTTTTATTAATGATTATGTGTCTGAGAACGATATTGATATTGTAGCAATGACTGAGACATGGTTACGTGAGGATGATAATGAATTTTCTATTGCTGAAATCTGCCCAACGGGGTATCACTTTTATCCATTGAACTAAAAATAACTGGAACGCTACGTTCAAGCGGAAATTTAAAGCTAAATTCTATAAGGTCGTACACCGGCTTTAAAAGGCCCGTTTTAAACTGAAAAGGCCCGTTTCCCTTTCGATTTGCATCCTGCCATGAAAACGTTCAAAACGGCATGCTTCGAGTGCCCCCTGCATTGTCTCGCGAGTAAATCGCGCAGTAGAAACACGCGTGGAAGTGCGTGTCTGGGAGTCAAAACTGGCTTCATTTGGCTTCATGGGAGTCAAATTTTGGCTTCAAAATTTGCATACGCAGTTTACTGAACGTAGCGTTCCAGTTATTTTTAGTTCAATGCTTTTATCACATTACAAGGAAAAATACACGAGGTGGAGGAGTTGGTCTCTTACTGAAGAAACATATTAAAGTCAAAAAACAATCTCAGAGAAAATTCTCTTCTTTTGAACATATTGATGTCACCTTGAACTGCCGTAATACCTGCACCAGAATGATTGTCATTTATAGACCACCCCCATCGAAGACTAATAAATTAAGCAGCTCAATATTTTTTGAAGAATTCTGCATATTTGTGGAACAGTTGATCATATTACCTGGCAATATATTAATGGCAGGAGACTTTAATTTTCATATAGATAACATTGGAGATTCAGACACTATTAAACTCAACAAGATACTGGAATCGTTTAATTTACAACAGCACGTCAATGGGCCAACCCACAAGAAAGGCCACACTTTAGACTTGATTATAACAAGGAATGAAGATAAATTAGTGACTGGTATCAGAATACATGATCCAGTAATATCAGATCATCTTGCCATACATTGTACATTACAGTTAGAGAAACCACCATTAGAACAAGCTGAAATTTATTATCGAAAATTAAACAATGTAAACATGGATAGTTTCAATGAAGATCTAAAAGTACTAGATTTAAATGACCATTATGATCTTTCAGTCCTTATTGATAAATATGAAAATACGTTGAAAGAAACATTACAGCAGCATGCTCCACAAAAACGACGAATTATAACTCTTCGTCCTTTATCACCATGGTACAATGAGGAGATTGGTCAAGAAAAAAGAAATCGCAGGAAACTAGAGCGCCGCTGGCGCGCATCTGGACTATGTATTGACAGACAGTTATATGTCAAACAATGTGAGACAGTGAATGCCATGATAAAGAATGCTAAGACAACATACTACTCATCGGTCATTTCCAGTAATGCACATAATCAGAAAGTGTTATTTAGTACGGTTGATAAATTACTCCATCGAAAGCCAGAAAAGCGCTATCCAACTGCGTCATCAATGACTGAACTCGTGAATAAATTTGCAGATTTCTTCAGTAATAAGATTGCTATTATATGGAAAGAAATAGCCATTGATTCTTCCCACTGTAATCAGCGAAATCAAGAGGAACAATATGCGCAATGCGTTAAATTCATTAACTTTCAAGAAGTCACGGAACATGAGATTGAAAATGTTATTGATAAAGTTGGTAAAAAATCTTGTGAACTTGATCCAGTTCCCGCAAAAATCTTCCAAGGTTGTCAGAAGACTCTCCTACCTATAATTACTAAGATTAGTAATGAGTCACTTCAGTCAGGATGTATGCCTGAGAAACTAAAAGAAGCCGTGTTGAAACCAAAACTAAAGAAAGATTCGCTGGAGTCCGAAGAATACACAAATTTCCGACCTATTTCAAATTTAAAATTCCTGTCTAAAGTAATTGAGAAGGATGCTGCCGGTCAGCTTCTGGAACACTTGGCTAATAACAAATTAGAAGAACCCTTCCAGTCGGCATATAAACGTTTTCATAGTGCAGAAACAACCCCATTAAAAGTACAAAACGATATTCTTGTAGCCATTGATAATCGTAAGTGTGTGGTGTTGCTATTACTAGATATGTCAGCAGCATTCGATACTGTTGATCACGAACTTTTACTACAACGAATGTTCAAAAGATTTGGGATAGATGGGCAAGTGTTGAAATGGTTTCAGTCCTATCTTCAGAATAGAACGCAAAGTGTAGTAATTGACGGTGTTAAATCTATCTCTAAAGACTTGCGCTGTGGAGTCCCACAAGGATCGGTTCTCGGCCCTATACTATATTTACTATACACTTCACCCCTTGGTGATATCATCAGAGGTCATGATCTTGATTTTCACTTTTATGCAGATGACTCGCAATTATATCTCGCTTTTGAGTCAACCATTGAGGGAAAATTGGGAGCACTGGCACAAATTGAAATGTGTGTGAAAGAGATTGATTTGTGGATGGTCAAAAATAAATTGAAATTGAATGGGGACAAGACTGAACTACTAGTAATCAATGCACGAAATGCTCATGCCCTGCTGTAGAATATATAGAAGTATCTAATTCAAGAATTCAACCAAGTACTTCAGCACGAAACATTGGTGTAACTTTTGACCACCACATGTCTATGGATAAACATGTTACCAATATTTGCAAGAACTGTTTTTACATTTGAGAAAAATAGCAAGAATAAAAGAGTACTTATCAACGTCAGATATCCAAACTTTAGTTCATGCCTTTATTACATCGAAACTGGATAATTGTAATTCTTTATTATACGGATTGCCTAAATTTCTTATTGATCGGTTACAGAATGTGCAAAACTGTGCTGCTCGACTGGTGACAGGAAGCAAAAAATACGATTATATTACTCCATTAATGAAACAATTACATTGGCTCCCCATCAGTCAACGCATCATCTATAAAATTGTTCTTATTACGTATAAATCTCTGAACGGCTCAGCTCCACATTACATTAATAATATGCTAAAACCTTACACACCATCAGCAAATTTACGCTCCTCATCCAAAGGATTGCTTACCATACCCTCAGTAAAACTAGTGAACTATGGTGAACGATCGTTCTCATATGCTGCACCGAAACTGTGGAACGAACTGCCAGAGTATATTAGAAAGAGTGAGACCTTGCCTATTTTTAAAACCAGATTAAAGACACATCTTTTTAAACAGTATTATAACTAAGTTATTATTTTAACAAGATTATTAGCAATTTTATAGTATTCTATATAAGTACTCTTAACGAGAAGAGCATTTAATTATTTTTTAGTAATTTTATAGTATAGTAATTTTAGTAGTCAGTGCATGTACTATGTTCTAACACTTAGTATATATTTTTAACACTTAATGTTAAGCGCTATTGAGCTATGGGAAATGCCGCTATATAAATGAATTATAATAATAATAATAATAATAATAATAATAATAATAGCAGAACTCCCTTTTCAAATAGGGAACATTCTTTTCAAATAGCAGAACTCCTTTTTCAAATAGCGCAACCTTCTCCTCAAGTAGCAGAACTCTCTTTTCAAATAGCAGAACTCCATTTTCAAATCGCGGAGCATTCTTTTCAAATAGCTGAACTCCCTTCTCAAATAGTGGAGCATTCTTTTCAAAATAGCAGAACTCCCATCTACAACTCCCTTTTCAAATAGCGGAATTTCTTTTCAAATAGCAGAACTTCCTTTTCAAATAGCGGAGCATTCTTTTCAAATAGCAGAACTCCCTTTTCAAATAGCGAACTGCTTTTCAAATAGCAGAACTCCCTTTTCAAATAGCAAAGGATTCTTTTGAAATAGCAGAACTCCCTTTTCAAATAGCGGAACTTTCTTTTCCAATAGCAGAACTCCCTTTTCAAATAGCGGAGCATTCTTTCCAAATAGCAGAACTCTTTTTTCAAATAACGGACCATTCTTTTCAGATAGCAGAACTCCTATTTCAAATAGCGGAACTTTCTTTTCAAACGGCAGAACTCCGTTTTCAAATAGCGGAATTTCTTTACAAATAGCAGAACTCCTTTTCAAATAGCGGAACGTTCTCCTCAAGTAGCAGAACTCTCTTTACAAAAAGCGGAACTTTCTCCTCAAGTAGCAGAACTCTCTTTTAAAATAGCAGAACTCCATTTTCAAATAGCGGAGCATCCTTTTCAAATAGCGGAACTCCATTTTCAAATAGCGGAGCATTCTTTTCAATAGCAGAACTCCCTTTTCAAATAGCGGAACTTTCTATTCAAATAGCAGAACTCCATTTTCAAATAGCGGAATTTCTTTTCAATTAGCAAACTCCTTTTTCAAATAGCGGAGCATTTTTTTCAAATAGCAGAACTCCCTTTTCAAATA